CACCTGTACATATTAAAGTGGAGCCTCACTGCTGAGCTGCTATCAATGTTCAAATTTCAATTTCAATTGTTTATTCCTTGATAAAGGAAGCGGGATCCTAGTGCTGTCACTAGGTACCCCTGTACAATGACACCAGAAGCATCTGGCAAGTGTGACAAGTATATACAGTATAAATATTATAAAGGGGCTTACTAAAGCCTAAAGAAGGAAGAATATTCCTTTAACACATAATCAATATTATTTACAAAATATCTGGCCAGTATGGGGAGGATCATCGTGTCTCCGTCAGGGGGTCGTGGAGTGGTGGTCCAGCAGGCGTCACGGAAGCGTTGTGTGTGGGGACATCTTAGGAGGTAGTGGATAAGGGTGCTGCTGTCGGGTCTTCTGCATAATGCACAAGAGCGTTGCTCAGGGGATGCGGGGATACCAATCTCCCAAGCAAAGTCATACCCAATGATGATACGGGCAGCAATCACGTCCCCTTTCCGCGACCCTTTCCCATAGACGTACGAGAGGTCAGGAAGTTTACGGAGGACATCGTACCAGGTGGGCGGGGAGTCCAGGGGGATGGCTGCTTCCCGAGCTTCTCTCTGTTTGCGGCGAATTTGGGTCCTAATCTGTAAGAGTGTTCGAGGAACAACGTAGTCAGGTGTGGCCTTGTTGCAGCTAGTCTTGGCAAGGCCATCTGCTGCCTCATTCCCAAGATACCGACATGACTGGGTGTCCATAGGAATGTCACAGGACGGCCTGCATCCCGAGTGTGGATGTTAACCCTCGTATTCGGAGGATGAAGTCCTTATTTTCCCCTGATCCAAATGCGATCCCGTCGAGAGCAGACCTGGAATCGCAGCAGACAAGCAAGGGGCAGAAACCATCTGTTTACTGAAATAAACCTCTTCAACGCAGTCATCTTCACCATTGAAATTTATAGAATGATATATCATGAAAACGATATTCACTGTAATTATCAGCCCCAAGCTCACGAAATATCAAGGGTCTTCTCTATTGTATATGGACCGTGTAAATTGTAAATATAAGATATTTACAATTACCTGTCTTTAGAATCTTTCACTCTACTTGTCTGTGAAGTTGAAAAGGTTGGGAACCACTGCTAGATGATGACTTTCTATTCACACACACACACACCTGTAATAACATAATACTGGTAAGACAACGGTGTATTTTACTCCCACGGGTCACAGTGTAATGCGTAATGGTCTTCTTTTAAATATCACCTAAATGGTAGTTCTCCAAGAGTTTATTAGATGGACCTTTATCAACCCTCTGTATCACCAGACAGATTTAAGAAAGACAATAAGTTGATCCGGGTTTAGGAATGATTTTAGTGAGGATGAATTATAGGATCTTCGGATCATTTGAATACAGTATATAAACCCCTGAAGATTAAAGTTACAGCTTATTTTACCTGAAGACTAAACAACTCTTACCCTACCTGGGATAATTTTCTATCGGCAAGACTGTGTGTGTGTGTGTGTGTGTGATAATAAATAATAATAATATTAATTAACGGTTTATTGAAAGAACATGGCAGCCAGAAGGCTGAAAATATACAGTTACCTAATTGGGGAATGGATTACTTGACTGACAAATAATATACAAGTAACATAAGTGATACAAATATGATATATAATACTGTAATTAGTTGGGGAGAAGGTCATACTACAAGGCATGTCAACATATTAACAGTGCAAAAGTAAGATTGGCTTGGAGTGAACACATTGGTTGATTACAAGTTGTTGATAATTTTTACAATGGTTGGGACTGGGCTGTTCTTGTAGCGATCAGTAAGTGCTCGTTTGGGCTGGATGCGGTTATAGTGTCGAACAGTAATTCGTGGACGAGGGATTTTGGGTGGTAACAAGAGCCAGTGTCGAGGATGGTGCAGAAGCTTCCCCCCAAATTTGCAAATGAGGTCATGATGATGATCAGAGAGATCCGAGAGGGTCAGTATGTTGAGCACTTCTTGATATGTGGAGTAGGAGGGGGAGAGAATAATCTTGCATGCCCTCATCTGTACTTTTTCTAGGTGTTTCCGTTGTGTGGCATTTAGGGAGGAAGACCAGGTAGGGGACGCATAGATGAGCTTGAGAAGTATGGATGTTGAGTTAAACACTGAAGAGCTTAGACTCGGGAATTCCGGGGGAATTGAGACGGCGGAGGAGGTGAAGACAAAAAATGGAGGATTTGATAATTGCACTGAGGTGTGTTTTCCAATTTAGTTTGTTATATATATAATAACGTTGAGGAGCTTGGTGGAGTCCACAACCTGGAGTGTGTTGGGGGCCAAGGTAATGGAGGGAGGTGGGACAAGGTCAGAGAAAAGGTTGATGTGCCTAACCATGGCCTTGGTTTGGTTGAGTGTGACATGATTGGTGGTAGACCAATCTTGGAGACGTCAATACATTCTGGAGGGCGCTGTAGTTGGTATCCGAGTTGTTCACGTCGATTCCAATGGTGGAGTCGTTGATATATTTCCAAGAAGCAGGAGAGTCTCTCAGGGTATCATTGATAAGCATTAGGAAGTCTGTAATCCATGGTATAAGACTTTTCCGAAACCCGAGGTCGATAGCATTGTTGATGATTAAATTGTGGTCGCCCAGGTCGAATGCCTTGGTGAAGTCAATGAAGGCGACAGCCACAGACGTCTTTCGTTTTTCCAAATGGCGGTATATGTAGTCAAGAAAGCTGAAAAGGCAGTAGGTGGTGGATGAAATTTTCATATTGCCAAATTGCTGAGAATCCATGGCGCCTACAATATCAGCATAAGCCCAGTCAAAAACGAAACTTTCACAGATTAAGCCGTGTATTGGGGTGATGACAATGGTTTGTAACTCATTTAAGGATTGTGGGCTGGTTGATTTGGACACTGGTGACACATATGAGGTCTTCCAATCAGTTGGGCATCTTGCTTGACTGAAGGAAGCATTGATGTTGGAGCAGAGGGGTTTAGCTAGTTCCGGGGAAAACTCCTTGTAGAGTTTCACTGGTAAAACAATAGTGGTGGTGGAGCGCTTTATCTTCAGTTTGTCCAAACGTCTTGTTACTTCAAATTCTTCCACCTGTAAGTCATTGGGAAAGGGGGACGGGTAGGTAAGCAGGGAGGCTGGTTGTGTCAAGCTGGGGGAGCGTCTGGCATATAGTTGCAAAATGGTTGTTTGATTGCTCAGCTGCGTCACCATTAGTGAGATGGCAAAGGAAGGGGAGGGGGTGTGTCTTATTGTTTAGTCCACAGAGTTCATTAAGCTTACCATACCACTCACTGATGTTGGTTTGCTTCAGGTGTTGCAGCTTGGTTGGGTAGTAAGACTTCTTTGCAGTGCGTATTTCACGGATGATTTGGTTGTGAAGGGCCCTGTAGCGGTTGTGGTTATTGAGATAAAAGGGGCTACATAAGTTTTTTGATCCGAGGTGTGATTCAGGGCAAGTCAGTTGGGTGTAATCTGACGAACTTTTCGGAGAACACCACTTGGTGGTGATCCGTGGTGGTGTTGATGTAATTTGTCCATTTGGTGTTTACCTCATCAACACTTATTACTTCAGTCTAAGGATGGTGAACTATCCACTGCCCGAAGAGATGCGTTGCAGAATCAGTAATCGGCCTGTAAGTCTTGATGTAGGGACTCTGCACGTGGCTGGTAGTGGGAGCTGGAGACCAAAACATAGATAGGTATGTGCTACACCCGGTAAGAGGCATTGGTTGAGATGGTTATTACTGGTCCACTAAGTCAGTTTAGATAACGTCAAGGGTGTTTTAACTATTCGTATGGAAGTTCACAGCTTGTGATAGTAGCAGCTGGTCCTCGTTCAGTGGTGTCAGTTTCGTTAAAATCCCCACATAATACTAGTTGGTACATGGATACCTGACTCTAGGGTGGTAATGAGGTGGTTGTCTCTGGTGGGTGAGTGAGGCGGGTGGTATGCCGCACTGTATTTGATAGAAGCAGTGTGGCGAGGGTGGGCACGTGGCACAACACGTACCCATAATGCCTCCACATCAGCTGGGATTAAATCGTCCAGGCGTGATGGATGTAGGTCATCCTGACAGAAGAGGGCAATGCCCCCTCCACGTCCATGTGTATGAAGGTGGTTAAAGAGTTGATATCCCTCAATGTGGCAAGTTTCAGGAACAATTTGCAACGCTTTGCAGATGAGAACGATGTTGGCAGTAACTGACCTGACGGTGGTGGTGAGCTCTTCAAATTTGTTGGCGAGGGAAGTGATGTTGGAGAGCCGTAAGGAGGGGAGACTGTGCCATATTTGGGGAACTTCATTGTATTGGTATGGTCTGTCAGGAGTAGGTTTCTTTGGTTTTCTACTGGAGGTGATGGTCCTGATGGGCTTCTGTACACAATATCTTTGTCTGCGACTACGAGCATAGAATAAGTTAGTGATTTCTAGTTGCACAATAACACTGCTGGCAGGGTATCTCTTCCCTGGCTTTAAACTGTACACTACAAGGTATGCCTGGAGTACTTCACTGGTGGACATCTGGTAATATCTGTTGTTGTAAACATATGCGGTGATCTTTAACTCGATGGCAGCACTTTGAGGGCCATCGACAAAATTTTCATGGTGTGGTACACTGGTAGACATCTGTCAATACTTGTCTAGTTGTAAACACCGCGGCAGTCCTGTCTCGGGCATTTTGAGGGTCACGGACAAAGAACCCACGGGCTAGTACTACACTGCTCAGTGCTCACTGGTGATTGTTATTGTGAATCACGCTCGTTTTTTCCTCGAGATACATTATTGAATCACTTTGATAACCAATCTTTGCACTTATCACTTGAATGTTTAGTTGATAAATCCCGGTGTAGTGAGGTTGGGAAGGAGATGGGGAAGGTGGGGTGGAGCTGGGGGACAGGGCTAAGCAGATCGTCCAGGCTGCCGGGAGAGTGCTTAGGACATGACTTGTTTCTATGAGCGCCGACTCTCTGCTTGTGTGTGTGTGTATTGGTAGCTATTTTCAACCCCGTGGTCTCTTAAATTAACCTTCCACGGGTACAGCAACTAGTGGTGCTGGCGAGTCTCCCGATCCATAGAAAATAGGCTTGAAGTTGTAGAGGTGTGTGGGTAGGGTAGGATGGCCGCCTCGTGCCAAGATGGCATTCAAGACCGCCATGCCCTCCTGAAGGATCTTGTCCACCTTGACTGGGAAGCGGTATCCTTGCAATTGCTTTGGGTATTTTGGACGACGGAAACGGCCCTCTGGGTACCTGTGTGTAGGACATTACCTAAGTAAACCATAATATTTTTGTTATATAGATTTTAAACCCTCACCCTCCCTCAGCATTTGGTAAAATCAATTTGATAAATTTTGAATAAATTTTACAGCTCGCACTCACATACTGTATATGAGGAAGAGTGAAATATACTACGGAAAAAATTTAATGATGCACAATATTATTATAAATTTCATAATAAAGAAAAAAGAATATATATATGTACTGTATACCACATGGCCTCATGCCCCCCCCCCCCCAATTCCAAATTAGTGCTCACCAGTTTGGGAATCACTGTTTTAAGCAATCACTCACCTGAGGAGGCACTCGAGTCTGCCATAGTCTAGAGGCAGCCCCAGAAACCTCATGAGACGTAGCATTTCTTCCTCGAGCTGGTGCTGTAATGTTGGAACATGTGTTAGTTGTTTATTAAGTATGTCTAGAGCCTTATAAAAATTAAAGAATGTTAGATCATTTTAGATAGACTGACACTAAGACTGTACTGTATACAGTGTCAAACTCAAAACCTTCGAAGGCCAATTCTTATTTTAGGGCCAACACAAGTGCTATATCACATATTTGCAGGATTGAAGTTTACAGCTTCACACATTGCCTTACCTGGCTTACCAGGAATACCTCATTTGGGTTTGTCTGATCTTAAGTATGTAAAATTCATTTTACTAAATAAACATGATTATATCTATTTCTTTCATAATTTCACGGGATGATAAATTTTACCGTCATCCCGCGGGCCACACCTGACCATCCCAAGGGCCACAATTGGGCCGAGGGCCATGAGTTTGACGCCCCTATACACTATTGCATCAATCAAAGTTTTATATTAAAGATATACTAAAATACTTTACAATGGTCTACTAAATTAAATAATATTTTACATATTGTTCAAACTTTGATTAAATTTATATAAAGAATTAAAATAAAGCCGAAAGAATTTAGTGAATAATGAAGTCGTGTATTAATAACAGGGGCAAGAAAGTGTTGTGTGTGTGGTGCTACAGAGGGGGAATTACTGTACTGAGTTAAAATTCAGATTATTTTAAAATGTGGATGACGGATAGTTAAGTGAAAAGGTATGTGGGTAGTTTAATGAATGGTAGTTATGTGGATCGTTCATTGGAGGATAGTTAAGTGGATAGGTAGCTTTGATTCTGAGATGTGGATAATAGGTTGAAGAACAGCTGTGGATAGTTCAATTGGGGATATGTTACGGGATAGTAGCTTTGATTCTGAGATGTGGTTAGATGGTAGGTGGATAGTTACTAACCTGGAGGTGCTCGTAGTGGATGACGTGGATAGTAGTTTTGGGTAGAGTAAGCCACACCTTGTTTAACCTCACCCAAACTTTGGATTTGTGCACTGTGAAGTTGGCCCACCCTGGCGGCAAGAGTGAGTCAGTGGGTCAGTGAACGAACGAGTGAGTGAGTCAGTGAATGAGTGATTCAGTTAGTCAGTGAATGAGTCATTTAGTGAGTAATTAAGTTAGGGAGTGAGTGAATACAAAACTGTACCTGTTCCTGTAGTTTGTGTCTGAAGATGAATTTGATTACTGTATTCTGAATAAAGTTTTTTGACATTCATGTACTCACACCTAGACTTCACTACACCTACATGGATTAAAATAAAGATGTACATTTTCCGTATCAATTACATCCTCCACACACACTACACCATCTTCACCACAACCACACCATCTCCACCACAACCACACCATCTCCACCACAATCACACTCTCTTCACCACAATCACATCATTTCCACCACAACCACATCATCTCCACCATACCTATACACCATCTCCACACAATCACAACCACTCACCCCCCACAACCACGACACCACACTCCCTCACCACCACAACATCACCACAACACAACCACCACCATCCACTACCACACCATCCACTACCACCACTACCACACCCTCCTCACCACTACCACACCATCTACTACCACTACCACACCATCCTCACCACTACCACACCATCCTCTCACCATCCTCACCACATACCACATACTCACCAGGACCCCTGAAGAAAGTGTTGCTACCGAAGCCTGTGTGACCAGCGGCATGATAGTGTCTTAGAGCAACGACAGCTTCCCAGGGACTTCGTATAAGCAGTACCACCTTCCTCGGGGACCTTGGCAGCAGGAGCTTGAATTCCGTCCCATTAAAGTTTTCTGATGACGAGGAGAATATTGGATGACGAGGAGAATTTTGGATGACGAGGAGAATGTTGGATGACGAGGAGAATGTTGGATGGCGAGGAGAATGTCGGATGACGAGGAGAATGTTGGATGACGAGGAGAATGTTGGATGACGAGGAGAATTTTGGATGATGAGGAGAATGTTGGATGTCGAGAAGAATGTTGGATGACGAGGAGAATTTTGGATGATGAGGAGAATGTTGGATGTCGAGAAGAATGTTGGATGACGAGGAGAATGTTGAATTGTGTGTGTGTGTCAGTGTGTGTGTGTGTGTGTGTGAGATACATAAAGAGTATAGACACATACCTTCAGGCAGCAGGGGATAGCTATGTGTTTTCTGCATGAGTGTTGTGCCTTTCCTGTGTCCATCTCGCTCACCTAAGAAACCTACAAGGAAGAGGATACCTATGACATAATGATACAGGGATACATGATTACAGTATTACAGGTTAAGACACATACAACAGGGATACATGATTACAGTATTATAGGTTAAGACACATACATCAGGGATACATGATTACAGTATTATAGGTAAAGACACATACACAGAAACATTGCAGCATTTATTTGAGTAGATATAAGTGGTATAAAGTAGATATAAGTGGTATAAAGTAGATATAAGTGGTATAAAGTAGATATAAGTGGTATAAAGTAGATATAAATGGTATAAAGTAGATATAAGTGGTATAAAGTAGATATAAGTGGTATAAAGTAGATATAAGTGGTATAAAGTAGATATAAGTGGTATAAAGTAGATATAAGTGGTATAAAGTAGATATAAGTGGTATAAAGTAGATATAAGCGGTATAAAGTAGAGAGCATGTAGAGAAAATCTTGAAAAGTTTTGTTGTACCGATTTAATTTGTTTTATTATTTTACGAATTTAGGAGAAAAACGTTTATTATTTAACCTTAAAATTATATAAACTGGTATCAACCAACTTAACAAAGGGCAATTATTTAATTAATTAACAAGAGCTAACCAAACAGTTTTCGTCCAATCAGAAGCCTGAGATATACAGGCCGCGAGTTGTGATTGGTTGTGTGGTGGGGTTGTGGTGAGGATCAGTGCAGGCAAACTGGGGGTCGTGTAAACAGTTTCGTGCCCTGGGTCTCGATAAGATACAGTGATGTAGTTTAGTTTTGTATCGGCTGTATTCACTCGCCTTTATTAACTATCGGCTGTATTCACTCGCCTTTATTAACTGTGTCGGCTGTATTCACTCGCCTTTATTAACTATCGGCTGTATTCACTCGCCTTTATTAACTGTGTCGGCTGTATTCACTCGCCTTTATTAACTGTGTCGGCTGTATTCACTCGCCTTTATTAACTGTATCGGCTGTATTCACTCGCCTTTATTAACTGTGTCGGCTGTATTCACCGCCTTTATTAACTGTGTCGGCTGTATTCACTCGCCTTTATTAACTGTGTCGGCTGTATTCACTCGCCTTTATTAACTGTGTCGGCTGTATTCATCGGCTGTGTTCCTCGCCTTTATTAACTGTCGGCTGTATTCACGCCTTTATTAACTGTATCGGCTGTGTTCACTCGGCTGTGTTCACTCGCCTTTATTAACTGTATCGGCTGTGTTCACTCGCCTTTATAACTGTATCCGGCTGTATTCACTCGCCTATTAACTGTATATCGGCTGTGTTCACTCGCCTTTATTAACTGTATCGGCTGTATTCACTCGCCTTTATTAACTGTATCGCTGTGTTATTCGCCTTTATTAACTGTGTCGGCTGTATTCACTCGCCTTTATTAACTGTGTCGGCTGTATTCACTCGCCTTTATTAACTGTGTCGGCTGTATTCACTCGCCTTTATTAACTGTATCGGCTGTATTCACTCGCCTTTATTAACTGTGTCGGCTGTGTTCACTCGCTTTTATTAACTGTATCGGCTGTGTTCACTCGCCTTTATTAACTGTATCGGCTGTATTCACTCGCCTTTATTAACTGTGTCGGCTGTGTTCACTCGCTTTTATTAACTGTATCGGCTGTATTCACTTACGTTAGGGTAAGTTAGGTTGGTTAGGTTAAGTTAACATTAGGCCAAGTTAGGTTCGGTTAGCGTTAGGGTTAAGTTAGGTTAGGATAGGTTAGGTTAATCTTCAGGTAATACCCTTAGTTTATCAAGCTCATATTAGTATCTAACTCCTGCTGTTAACTCATCTTTTTTGCTGTTAACTCACTGCGCAGCTCGTGTGTGGGTTAACCTTGCGTGTTATGTGTCAGTAAATGTCGCCGTAAACAACAATTTGTTATTACGGCGACAGAGACATGTAATAACCTAACCTAGCCTAGCCTAGCCTAGCCTAGCCTAGCCTAGCCTAGCCTAGCCTAGCCTAGCCTTGCCTATCTTAATTTAACCTAACCTAACGTAATTTAACCTATCCAACCTTACCTAATTTACTTTAACTAACCTAACCAATTTTAAATTAACCTAACCTAACGTAAATTAGCCTTATCAACCAAACATAACCAACTTAACCTAACCTAATTTAATCTAACTTAACCTAACCTAAGATAACTTAACCACCTTTAACCTATCCTAACCTAACCCACTGGAAGGGCTAATCTCACAGTGAAATAAGGTGGGGGGCTAATCTTTAGGTGACGTTACCACGGTTGTAGCAGCGTCACAACCTATAGGAATATTACACACACACACACACACACACACACATGTCTATGGCTTGTAGGCCTGTGAGGAGTAAGACTTGTCAGTATGCAGTCTCACTAAATATTAATTTGCTTGTAGTTGTTTTAAGTCCCGTTGATATCAGTAGGATGCCTGAGACTGTAGATAATTATGGTTCATCAAACGTTCACTTCTTCCACAAAGAGGAGGTAAATTATACACAAGACTGGTGTATATGTACAGTGTGATATTTACAAGTCCAAATACTGAACAGTTTATTAGACTGGCCCCGTGATCTGTTACTCAAGAGTTCTCGTTGTGAGTCGCGCTGTATACTGAGACAGGCTCCGTGTCAGGCAAGCTCGTAAGGAGGTTCCAGGTGTAGATCTTTACTAAAAGGGGTCCAGTCCAAGACTGGAGAGTAATTCCTACACTCGTCTCCAGAGCGATCTATGAGTCAAGCTTCTAGAAGGTTCCTCGAAGGAGGAAGTAGTCAACCCTTCGGAATATCAAGCAACTCTACAGTCAGGGGTGTTTACATAACGTGTATAAACAACCGGCTGGTAATTGGTCCCTTTGACCCATGAATCACTCTAAACTGGCGGTGTCATTCTCTATATATTACCAAACTAACTACCTAACATACTTGACGCAGTGCAAGAGTGAAGCAAGGTAACCATTGACCACAAAGGAGTAATCTACTGAGTGTTTAAGGAAATACCTCGACACTCGGGCTGGACATAACCCCCGCCGGATGTTTAACACGGCTATAACCGATGAACAACCTTTACCATCTACAGGTCACTGAATAATGAATGTTCATAAGTATACATCCATAGTTGTAGGTTATTAACTACTTACTCTAAATTATACAGTATGTAAATTATACTTGTTACACACACACACACCCAATATATACTCAGGTGTAGGAGAGTTACGTTAACGCTCCCTACTAGGTATTAAAGGCCTCGGGTGCACGGGTTTATTGTGGAGTGTCTGGAGACGGCTTCGTAATCACGGTACACTTGTCTCTTGTTTTTATCACTGGTTAACATGACACCTGGGCCGTCATTCATCCTAATTTAACCTGACCTGATCTGACCTAATTTGACCTAACCTGACCTAATTTAATCTAACCTAACATCAAAATTTCAGCTTGTTTTTTTCCCCTGTGTGTTTATTTTGGGTTAGGTGGAAATAATAATAACGTATTTACTGTTAAATTAAGCAACTCGAGGGTGTGACTGGTGGGTCATCAGTTGTAGTGATGGAGGAGGAGGAGGTACTGATTAATCTTCTATAACTTATTTATTTATTCATTTATTTATTTAGAATACAATGTCCCGGGGTCACCCTAGAGCTCGCGATATAGGGGCGGAATATGAAGGTTATAGGGGCCCCCGAAAGAGAGACAGCTTAGGGTCCCCGAAAGAGAGTCCAGCTTAGGGCCCCCGAAGAGAGAAAAGTCAACAGGGCCCAAAGAATGGTCAAGGAGACTCCGAAAGTCAACAGGGCTAAAAGAAGCAAGACCCCGACTCAACAGGGCCCGAAAGAGGGGTCCAGCAGGGCCCCCGAAAGGAGAGTCAGCCGGGCCCCCCGAAAGAGTCAACTTAGGACCCCCGAAAGAGAAGTCAGCTTGGGACCCCCCCACTCCCAAAAGGCTTTAAGATCGACCCTGCTTGAGTACGACCATACGCTAACACTAGAAGTGACTAACCTCTCTTGGCCAGGGTCTCTTCGTGGTAGACGGAGCCAGTGAAGACTCCCGTTATCGTCTCCGTCAGGTACCGCAGCCACGTGTTACCTGACCCGGGGAAGGAAACCAAGGCCATCACAGGGGCCCCACCATCCACCAAGAACCTGTAAGGGGGGGTCCAGTTTATTATCATATCGACATCTTGGAGATCATTAATACAGATAAACGCACATACACAGACAGATACACATGCAGACAGACAGACAGACAGACACATTTAGAAATTACAGACACAGACAGAAAGACAGATTGACACACACACACACACACACACACACACACACACACACACACACCGGTGATTTACATTATATTAGGATCTTTTTTGTCTTTTGTGATGAGAACATTATCCAGGGTCGCTCTTATAAGTGAGTCATGGATGATTATGTATACTTGACTAGTGGATGATAATGTATACTTGACTAGTGGATGATAATGTATACTTGACTAGTGGATGATAATGTATACTTGACTAGTGGATGATAATGTATACTTGACTAGTGGATGATAATGTATACTTGACTAGTGGATGATAATGTATACGTGACTAGTGGATGATAATTCTTCCTACCTCCCCCACGTATTATTCACTGTGTACCTAAGTAACATACCCTCTTTTGTATACCCGCCCTCCATGTATTATTCAGTGCATGATAGCCCTCCATGTATACCAACCCTTCCCCCTTGTGTAATCCTCCATCATTCATTACCTGAATTATACACGCACACCTGTTGCTCCTTCACCTGACATGGTAGACTCTAGCACGCAGCCTTGCCAAGTGTTCCCTGATCCGCTACGTCTCATACTGAACACGGAACACTTAACACGGAGCCTTGCCAAGTGTTCCGTCACCCACTCATAATAAACACGGAACACTTAACACGGGCCTTGCCAAGTGTGCCGTGACCCGCTACATCTCATACTGAACACTGGGCCTTACCGAGGTGTGCCGTGACCCCGCTACGTCTCATACTGAACACGGAACACTTAACACGGAGCCTTGCCAAGTGTTCCGTCACCCACTACGCCTCATAATAAACACGGAACATTTAACACGGAGCCTTACCAAGTGTTCCGTCACCCACTACGCCTCATAATAAACACGGAACACTTAACACGGAGCCTTGCCAAGTGTGCCGTGACCCGCTACGTCTCATACTGAACACTGGGCCTTACCGAGTGTGCCGTGACCCGCGACGGCTCATACTGAACACGGAACAACACGGAGCCTTGCCAAGAGTTCCGTGACCCGCGACGTCTCATACTGAACACGGAAACTTATGGTTAACCCTTCATTAAAGTATGACAGTACAGAGGTGTGTATGTATGTATGTGTGTGTGTTTCGTACACAGGGTGATGTAATGCGTCTATTGTGGCAGCATTGTGATTGTGTTAAAGTGCAAGCACTGCTTGCTTCCTCTCGCTTTCAGTTGCCGCCGCTGGCTAGCCCTCGTGGGGAACAGGGGTATTCTCCACACAGTCGTTACAAAAATCTGCAGAGACCCTCAGCCAAATCGAAAGAATACACCAGGACTGGTTTGATGAAAATGACCCAGAAGTCAATGTACTCGTGGATAAATGTAGCTTTAGACCATCACGTGGCACACTGACATGATCTTTGCTACCCTTTAGATACAGGAAAAGGGCAGAGAACAGCGTCGTGACCTGTACATGGCCTTCATCAACCTAACCAAGGCTTTTGACTCGGTCAACAGGGAAGCCCTTGGCGGACCCTCAGCCATTTTAGCTGCACACCAATATTCATCGCCATTGTAAGGCAGCACTGCATGAACGGCAGTGCCCTGCACAATGGCACCCAGTTTGAGTTCTTCCCCATCTAAACTGGGGTAAAACAAGGATGTGTACTAGTACCAACTCTCTCTTCCATTTTCTTGGCTGCCTTCCTTACTCATGCCAGTGCCAATTTAGCCAGCGGGGTGGACATAGAGTACCATATGAAGGGTCTTTTCAACTTAAGACGACTCCAGGCAGGAACAAAGGTGTCGGCAGCTAACATTACTGAGCTTCAGTATACAGACGACCTCACCCTTGTCACACACTGAACACGACCTACAGGAGATCCTGAACACCTACGCAGATGCGTATGCACACTTCAGCCTTGAGGTTAATGTGCGTAAGACTCTGATTCTCTTTCAGCCTGCCCCTGGTTCAGCCACACCTCCACCATCCATCCAGCTTAGGTACTACCCTCTCTAATGTTGCCCACTTTCGGTATCTCGGCTCACACCTGTCCACTACCGGGGAATCGGTGGGGAGATTCAACATCCGTACCCGTGTCTTCAGCTGTAGGGAGCTGAAATTATCTACAAAGTTGCAGTGGTCCTCCCCACCCTGCTATATGGCAGCGAGACATGGGTCACATACAGGAGGCACCTCAAGACACTTGAAAACTTTCACCAACGTAGTCTATGTTCCATCCTCCATGTTCGCTGGGAAGACAAGAGAACAAATGCCAGTTCTTGCTGACACCAACTGTAGGACCATCGAGGCTACCATTATCCATGAACATCTATGCTGGACTGGCCACTTTACACTCATGGACGACAGTAGACTGCCAAAGCAGTTACCGTACAGTCACCCTGCTCTCCCTCCACCCCCTCTTCCTCCACACCTCACTCCCAACCTTGACCCCCTCATCCTCCCACCTCCCTCTCTCACCCCCCTCTCTCACCCCCCTCTCTCACCCCCCTCTACCACCCCCCCCCCTCTACCCGCACCCCTCCACCACCCCTCATCCCCACCTTCACCCCCCCCCCACCCCTCACCCCTCCCCATGTCCTAATTACTGGTCGTCACTAATAATTTCGTAAATCATCTCTCATTATTTTCTCTCTCTTCGATTCTCTTGTTCCTTTACTGCTTCTCTTCCGCCCTGTGTCTCTGTCTTTCTCTGTCTATTGTTATCTGTCTGTCTGTCTGTGTCTGTGCTGTGTCTGTCTGTCTGTGTCTTTTGCCTACCTCTATATGTTTCCTGTCTACCTCTCTGTCTTTTCCCTGTCTACCTCCTTGTATCTTTCCCTGTCTACCTCTCTATCTTCCCTCTCTGCCTCCCTACTTCTTTCCTGTCTACCTCTCTGTCTTTCCCTATACACACACCTCTCTGTGTCTTTCCTCTACCTCTCTGTCTTTCCCTGCCCTCTATGCTTTCCCTGTCTACCTCTCTATGCTCCCTGTCTGCCTCTACCTCTGTCTTTCCTGTCTACCTCTCTGCTTGTCTTTTCCCTGTCTACCTCTCTGTCTTTCCCTGTCTGTCTGTCTTTCCCTGTCTACCTCTCTCTGTCTTTCCCTGTCTACCTCTCTGTCTTTCTCTGTCTACCTCTCTGTCTTTCCCTGTCTACCTCTCTGTCTTTCCCTGTCTACCTCTCTGTCTTTCCCTGTCTACCTCTCTGTCTTTCCCTGTCTACCTCTCTGTCTTTCCCTGTCTACCTCTCCTGTAATACCCTGTCTACCTCTCTCTGTCTTTCCCTGTCTACCTCTCTGTCTTTCTCTGTCTACCTCTCTGTCTTTCCCTGTCTACCTCTCTGTCTTTCCCTGTCTACCTCTCTGTCTTTCCCTGTCTACCTCTCTGTCTTTCCCTGTCTACCTCTCTGTCTTTCCCTGTCTACCTCTCTGTCTTTCCCTGTCTACCTCTCTGTCTTCCCTGTCTACCTCTCTGTCTTTCCCTGTCTACCTCTCTGTCTTTCCCTGTCTACCTCATGTCTTTCCCTGTCTACCCCTCTCTCTTTTCCCTGTCTACCTCTCTGTCTTTTCCCTGTCCCCTCTCTGTCTCCCTGTCTACCTCTCTGTCTTTCCCCTCTACCTCTCTGTCTTTCCCTGTCTACCTCTCTGCTCCTTTCCCTGTCTACCTCTCTGTCTTTCCCTGTCTACCTCTCTGTCTTCCCTGTCTACCTCCCTGTCTTTCCCCCTCTCTCTGTCTTTCCCTGTCTACCTCTCTGCTCTTCCCTGTCTACCTCTGTCTTTCTCTGTCCCTACCTCTCTGTCTTTCCCTATACCTCTCTATGCTCCCTATCTACCTCTCTGTCTTTTTCCCCATCTCTCTGTCTTTCCCTCTACCTCTCTGTCTTTCCCTGTCTACCTCTCTGTCTTTCCCTGTCTACCTCTCTGTCTTTCCCTGTCTACCTCTCTGTCTACCTCTGTCTTTCCCTGTCTACCTCTCTGTCTTTCCCTGTCTACCTCTCTGTCTTTCCCTGTCTACCTCTCTGTCTTTCTCTGGTTTTATCTTTGTTTCTTCATCAATGTTTATTTCTCCAATTCTCTTTGTCTATATTTATTTCTTTACTAATTAGCGTACGCACACACTTACACACACACATACACTTACACACACACACATACACACACACACACACACACACACACACACACACACACACACACACACACACACACACACACAGAGTCGAACAGTGTTAAACGTGCAGTTTATTTCAAATTATCTTTCCTTGTTAAGTAAATGTAAGTGTGGACGAGACGGCTGTGGGCGTGGCTGAGTTACCTTTCTTACCCCGGGTGGAGGGACAGGAGGGAATTACTACACCACGTGAGGCCCCTCATAACACCATCTGTGAGGGAATTACCACACCACGTGAGGCCCCTCATAACACCATCTGTGAGGGAATTACTACACCACGTGAGGCCCCTCATAACACCATCTGTGAGGGAACTACTACACCACGTGAGGTCCCTCCTAACACCATCTGGGAGGGAGTTACTACACTACGTTTTTGCTGTTCAACACCTACATTAATCTGTATGTTCACTGTATGTTCCTTTACCTTTCTCTAATGAAGGCTTTTGTTAAACCACCAATGTATGTAATAAGTCATTTATGCCCAATGTATATTTTCAGCCTTCGGGCTGCAGAACTTTTTCAATAAACCGTTAATTATTATTATTATTATTATTAGTGATAGTGCTCAACCATCTTCCTAAGTCACCCGCACCTCCCTACCAAATTTCAGCCCTCTAACTTGTAAACTGTGGAAATACTCGTACATGATGCACATTTAAACACACACAATGTATTTGATAAACAGTATATATGTGAATGTGTATATGTATGTGTATGTGTATGTGTATGT